TCTTGATGATCATAATTGAACTTCTTTACTCAAAACATACATTTACATGATTTTATAAATGAGAAAATATTTAAATATTAAATTTTTTTTTCTAGGTTGTAGACATTTAAAGCCAAATTAATTGCCAACAAAAAAATAACAAGTGATATGAATTGCACTAAAAAATGAAAAAATTTAAAATCAAGCTAATCACTAATAAAAAATAACAAGTGATACCAATTACACTAAAAAATTCAAAGTGCAACTAATTACTAATAAAAAAAAACGACCAATAAAAAAATAGGTGAAACCAATTGCACAAAAAAAAAAATTAAAACCAACTATAAATTTCTTTTTCTTTATTTGCATCAGTTTCTCTTTGCTAATGTTTATATTTTTTTTTAATACTTGAATAATGTAAAATAGACACCGAAACGATATAAAGGTCAATTAAATCATTTTTTTTTTTTTTGAAGTGATGAAATTTTGATTTTGTTGATTTGATTTAATTGTAGCATGAGAATAATTCTGTAGTATCTGAGAAGTCATAACGACAGAGAATTTAAATCAATTGTCTTTGCAGCTACAAACAAATTCGCTGGACAATGTTAGTTCAGTTGACCTTTTTTTTATTTCTTGAAATTTTGATTTGTAATTCAATGTGGTTGATTCGTTTGATTTGATTTAGTGATTTAATTGTGTGTTCTTAATGATATTCCTTATTAAAACTAGACAACATATTTATTAGATTTAACCGAATGTTGAAAAAAAGAACATTCATTTGGCAGAAAGAAAAGCCCGGGATAAAGAAATGTATGGCATGATAGTTTTGAAATAGTATTAGTTTAAGTTCATGAGGATTCTCGAATTGTATTTAATGTGATATGATTCTTCTTCATTTCAACATTTGCACTTCTTTTATTTAAGACATTCTTGAATGTTTTATTTGCTTGGTGAATTTTTTGTGATAAGAGTGTTTTCAAGCACGTGTAATGACTAGTCTATATAATAAAATAGTTAAATTTCTTTGTCTTAAGTTTTTCACGGCTCAAATCATTTCCTAACTTTTGATCCAACGATCAAAATTGGACTTTCATTCATTTTACAACTCTAGGACTCTTATCTCTCATATAACTCTCTCATTCTTAATCTCATACACCCAACTCTCATTCGTATATAACTCTCTCTCTCAAATATTTTAAACACACTCTTTCATTTCTCGTATAATTCACTCTCTCTATTTCATATTTCTTTTAAACACACTCTCTCATTTCTCATACTCTCTCTCTCTCTCTCTCTCAACATTGTTTGTCTTGACAATCATAATTGGACTTCTTTACTCAAAAAAATTTAAAACCAAGCTAATCATCAATAAAAAAAAAAAAAGTGATACCAATTGCACCAAAAAAAAAAAAAAAAAATCAGAACCAAGCTAATCGCCAATAAAAAAAAATAAGTGATACCAATTACATAAAAAAAAAAAAAGTCAAGCTAATCACCAATAAAAAAATAATAAGTGATATCAATGTACCAGAAAAACTAAAAATTCAAAGTCAAACTAATTACCAATAAAAAAAAAAGTGAAATAGTTGAAAAAAAAAATTCAAAAACAACTATAACATTTTTTTCCCTTATTTGCATCACTTTTCTCTTGCTAATGTTCATATTTTTTTTAATAATTGAATAGTGCAAAATAAACACCGAAATGACAAAAAGATTAGTTAAATCAATTTTTTTTTGAAGTGGTGAAATTTTAATTTTGTTGATTCGGTTTAATTGTAGCGTGAGAATATTTCTATAGAATCCGTGAAGTCACAGCGGCAGAGAATTTAAATCAATTGTCCTTGTAGGTACAAGCAGATCCGCTGGGCAATATTAGTTCGGTTGGACTTTTTTCTATTTTTTGGAAATTTGATTTGTAGTTCAATGTGGTTAATTCGTTTGATTGGATTCAGTGATTTAGTTGTGTGTTCTTAATAATATTTCTTATTAAAATTAGACAACCTATTTATTAGATTTAACTAGAGGTTGAAAAAATGAACAATTATCTGGTGAAAAAAAGAGCCGCCATAAAGAAATTTATGACATGATAATTCTGTAATAATGTTAGTTTAAGTTCATGGGGATTCTTGAATTGTATTAATGTGATATGATTATTCCTCATTTAAGCCCTTGGATTTCTTTTATTTAAGAATTACTCAGATCCCGGTTTTGCTTGACGAATTTTTTGTGTTAAGAGTGTTTTCAGGCATGAGTAATGTCTAATTATAAAATATAATGATTGTTGAATGTTTGTGTATTGACTATTAACTATTTAACTTATATTCAATTATTCATATTCACTNAAAACATCAAATTTCATTTCAAGATTACTACGTATTTCAATTTCTAATTTCTTAGCAAGCCAAGTGGATGTTGCCTCAGTGCTGAAACTATTTTTGACACATATGTGTGGACCTCTTAAAGTCTTAATACTGTATGTAACACCATCAGGAAGTGGAGATGCATGGATCCTCCAATTGCAGCCACCATTGCCACAGTGACATGTAATCCTTTTCCTCTCATTTTTATCCCTTACTAGCTGAAATCCCTCTTGCACAACATTCTTTTAGAAACTCCTTAAAGTGATGAATATCCATAAACAGTTAACCAACCTCCAACTGCACTGTCCCATCAAGTTGTCTTTCAAACTCTCTCCCATACCTATTCATGTCAAATGCCCTTGTAGTAGTTCTGTTTCTTGCTTTGTCCACATTGTTATTCAAGTCAGAGGTAGAATTAATATAGTCATCATCCCCAGATGCATAACATGACAACCCATCATCATTGTTTAAATCTGTATCTACCCTAAACTCATGATCTATGGTATCATGTTCTTCTCCATAGTCTTCATCTTAAGATCTAATTCCATGTACATTGTCAGTTTCAAAATCACCATCATCACTATTTCCAGCTTCATTATTTCCTCGATTCTCCACATTGGCCAAATTCTCCACATTCTCCAAACTGCCCACATTCTCCACGTTATTTCTATGAATAAAATTATTTCCAATTTCTTGTGGAATAACATGTATGTTTATGTGTTTTCTATTCTTGTGCTTACTAAACATCTCCACTACATCTTCGTCAACATCTACCAACATTCTGTCACTTGAACCAGGCAGGTCACAAAACAATTTGAACATTAAGGTCAATGCTGAAGAATACGACATAAATACATATGATAATAGGTGCACATAACAATATTTACCTGCGTCAATGTTCTGTGTCATGTATTGTTGCCCCACAAAGTGTATGAACAAGTCAATCAACTTAGCAGTCATTTCTACAACAATTTCAAACACAATAACACTCAAGAAATGAAGAAAATCATCTATGTAGCATGTTTGAAACAAGAAGGATTTTTAGAAAACGAATATGAAAAAGAAGCCCTAATTTCAACATCTATGGAGAATGCATTAGAATTCCCTGGATAAAAGATGAAATACAATCCCCAAATCCAAAAAAATATAACCCTAGAAAAAAAAAAGCATAAAAAAACTCAAATTCATTCGGTACATACTAGAGAATCTTCTTTACTCAGTCTTCAAACCATTCGATGTTTGGAGTCACATATGTCTTCCAAGCCTTGACCAATTTTATTTCCCTTCTCTTTTCTCTCTCTCTCTCGCTCTCTCTCTCGTGCAAGAGATGGTTAACCCATGGGAATACACAGACACATGAGTAGGGTTAGGTTTAATAAATAGGTAGGATTAACTAAATCAAATCATAATTAGTAGTGTAGGTTAAATAAATATAAATACAAAGTACGTATAAAATACTCTGAGATATTTTTGTAAACCTATCCTACCCATTAATGTCGTTACCAGATAAAGAGTGGTAGAGAAATTTTAGAATGGGTGTTATTGAATGAAATTTTTCCTAGTTTCTAAAAGATATCGTATAAAACACTTTATTTTTGTTGACTTAGAATTCTGACATGCACTCTCCAAAAAAAAAAATTTAATGGTTGGAAGTGCAACCAATTTCCAATTAAAAAGCCACAAGTTTATTACCTGTCAAAATTGTTATGTTATTATATTTTATGATTAATTAATTACATCTTATTTGAGATTAGATATATTTAATTCCTTTAATTTTTAGATTGATACTTGTTCCAGTTGTTTGATTTATTTTATAAATAATTTAATTAATTTAAATTAATAATAAATAAAACAAGTGAAACAAATACTTGAATAGGTGTCATAGTTGTGAATATAATATTTAATAAGAATCGAAAGGTCAAATGTAAAAAGATTTGAAGATAAGACAATAACTTAAGGTTTGTGAAAGTCGAAATTAATAAAAAATTAAAAAAAAAACTCATTTATAATTGAATTTAAAAAATATCTTAAAAGATAAATTTTAACTTTTCACCCCAATATTCAATGAACTTGAGTTCTGCAGAAAAAAAGATTCTAAGATTACAAAAATATATATCATGAAAATTTTAGAAATCGACATCCAACTACGCTAAAATCGAGCTAAAACATTAGGCAAATATGGTACCAGCACCGAAACGTGCTCTCAAGATTTGATGTAGAAATTTTGACCTAAATCGTGCAAGATTTGATCCCAAAGGAGTAAAACCAAGAATTCCGACAAATCCCAAAGGAGGTTTTCACTTTTCACTTTCAAGTAAAAGGTTTACCCCATTTTCGACCCCACACATACAAACAAGAACCTAAGATCAAGAAATCACAATATACAAGCATGAACACGCAGAGATGGATGATGAAGATTAAAGGGTGAGGCTCAGATCTATTTTTCATCAGACAAGAGAATGTGACTCCGCCATGGCTGCTACCGGTTGCATGTGGGAGAAAAAACCCACATGCCATCCGGGTTGCCCCGCCAAGATACGGGTTGGATTATCTCAATGCCCAATTCACTAGCTCAGAAAATTTATCATCACAGCCTCTGTTTTTCTTTTCTTTTTTTTTTTTTTTTTTTTTGGATAAGTAACTAGCAGCAACAGCAACAACAAAGCAAAGAGAAAGAAATCCAAGGGATTAAAACCATCACCCACCTCTGAAGTTGATTGCTGATATACATACACACACGCACATACATATACACACACATATATATATATATGTAGAGAGAGAGAGATGTTGATTTTATTGTTGTTGTTGTTGGAATGGGGGAGGGCTGTTGATTTTGTGGTTGGTGAAATCATTGGCTTCCAGAGAGGGGCAACCACCCTCAGAAACATCCCATCTCTCTGAGCCTCATTCTTGAGCTAGACAGAGCAGGGTTTGGTGGATCCACTCTTTTAAAGGTGGAGATAACCCTGGTTAGTGTTCTAGCGCTTTGTCTAACAGGTAGCCCCAACTTTCACTTTTCCCATGGTTCGAGTCTTGTGAATTGTGGCCGGCCACTTCTCTTTTTTCCATTAACTGTTTGGACCAATCTCATCAGAATCGGACTGAACATTAAATCGACCGAGAGATTAAATTAATAATTTATTGGTTTAATCATTGAGTTAACTGGTTTAATCAATCATATAATAATTTAACTATTAACTATTTAACTTATATTCAATTACTCATATTTAACTTATAAAAAATCTATATAATAAAATAATTAGATTTATTTGTCTTTGACTTTTCACAGCTAAGATCCTTAGCGATTTGATCCGACGATCTTAATTGAACTTTTATCATTTTTACAACTCTAAGACTCTTATCTCTCATATAACTCTTTTTCTTTTTCTTTCTCTATCTCATACATCCAACTGTAATCTTACTCTTTTTCTTTCTCTCTCTATCACATACGCTGAACTCTCATCTCTCAGCTCTCATATATATATATAACTCTTTCTCTCCCTCACAGTCATTTTAAACACAGTCTCTCATCTCTCATATATATATATATCATATTATCTCATTGTTTGTCTTGATGATCATAATTAGACTTTTTTTACTCAAAATATACATTTGTATGATTTTATAGATGAGAAAATATTTAAATGTTAAATTTTTTTTCCAGGTTGTAGACATTTAAAGTCAAATTAATTATCAATAAAAAAAACAAGTGATATGAATTGTACTAAAAAAATAAAAAAAAATTCAAAATCAAGCTAATTACTAATAAAAAATAACAAGTGATACCAATTCTACTAAAAAATTCAAAGTGCAACTAATTACTAATAAAAAAAATGAGCAATAAAAAAATAAGTGAAACTAATTGCACAAAAAAAAAANAATTATAGATCCAACACCAGCCAATGACATTTGTGTGCCATTAGCTGCAAGCACAAAAATAGATGGAGGAAAAAAGGTAGATGCAAATAAGAAAGAATCACTAGTCATATGATGGGTTGCACCTGAGTCAAAGACCCAGGCGATTCGAGATATAGCTGAAGGACCAGAAGTGAACAAACCTATAAAAAGTGAGATGGAGAGAGTATTAGACTATTGAAGGAGCTCTTGTAATTGATCAACAATCTTGGTCAATTTTAAACTAATTGACAGAAGAGAGCCAGAATTGTCGCTCGCCATAATTGTCNTAATACTTGAATAGTGTAAAATAGACACTGAAACGACAAAAAGGTCAATTAAATCAATTTTTTTTTTTGAAATGATGAAATTTTGATTTTGTTGATTTGGTTTGATTGTAGCATGAGAATAATTCTATAGGATCCGAGAACTCATAGCGACTCGCAGCTACAAACAGATTCGCTTGGCAATGTTAGTTCAGTTGGGTCTTTTTTTCTATTTCTTGAAATTTTGATTTTTAGTTCAATGTGGTTGATTCGTTTGAGGTGATTCAGTGATTTAATTGTGTGTTCTTAATGATATTTCTTCTTAAAACTAGACAACATATTTATTAAATTTAGCCAGAGGTTGAAAAATGAGCACTTATTTGGCAGAAAGAAGAGTTGGCATAAAGAAATGTATGACATGATAGTTTTATAATAGTGTTAGTTTAAATTCACGAGGATTCTCGATTTGTATTAATGTGATAGATTCTTCTTCATTTCAACATTTGCACTTCTTTTATTTAAAGACATTCTTGAATGCCTCATTTGCTTGGTGAATTTTTTGCGTTAAGAGTGTCTTTAGGCACGGGTAAAGACTAGTCTATATAATAAAATAGCTAAATTTCTTTGTCTTGAACTTTTCGCGACTCAAATCATTTCCTAACTTTTGATCCAACAATCAAAATTGGACTTTCATTCATTTTATAACTCTAAGACTCTCATCTCTCATATAACTCTCTCATTTTTTATCTCATACACCTAACTCTCATACGTATATAACTCTCTCTCTCAGATATTTTAAACACACTATTCCATATCTCATATAATTCTCTCTCTATTTCATATTTCTTTTAAACATACTCTCTCATTTCTCATACTCTCTATCTCTCTTTTAACATTAACAAAATTAAAATTTCATCACTTCAAAAAAATAAAAATTGATTTAACTGATCTTTTGTCATTTCGATGTTTATTTTGCACTATTCAATTATTCAAAAAAATATGAACATTAGCAAGAGAAAAGTGATGTAAATAAGGGAAAAAATGTTATAGTTGGTTTTGAATTTTTTTTCAATTGGTTTCACTTTTTTTTTATTGGTAATTAGTTTGACTTTGAATTTTTAGTTTTTTTGGTACAATTGGTATCACTTATTATTTTTTTATTGGTGATTAGCTTGTCTCTGATTTTTTTTGATGCAATTGGTATCACTTATTTTTTTTATTGGTGATTAGCTTGGTTCTGATTTTTTGTTTTGGTGCAATTGGTATCACTTTGTGTTAAGAGTGCCTTCAAGCACGAGTAATGTCTAGTTATAAAATATAATGATTGTTGAATGTGTGTGTATTGACAATTAACTATTTAACTTATATTCAATTATTCATATTCAATTTATGATTGTTCAAAAAAATATTGCCTCTGTGTGTAGAGAGAGAAAGAGAAAAAGGAAGAAGGAAGACCCAACAAGCATGTGAGAGAGACATAGAGAGAAAAGACCCAACATGTGAGATGGAGAAAATGGACCTAGTAAGCCAACATTTTTTCCTTCATTTTTTGTGGGTTTTGTAAACTTTGATAAAAGCAAAGAGAGAAAGAGAAGAGACAATAGAGAATGATTGTATTACAGCATAATAGAAAAATGCATACAAAAGACCCTTATTTAATATGGCAACATAAAAGAATAAAATGACTAAACTACCCTTAAGATTAAATATTCTAACTACTTTAACACCCTCCCTTTAAACTCATGATGTGTTAGCAGAAAACATCAAGAGTTTGTTAAGAAGAAAACGAAAGCGAGTAACAGTATACGATTTTGTGAAAAAATTTGTTAACTGCATAGTGGAAGAAAGAAAAAGAAGGGAGATAGTTCCCAACTGAAGATGATGACGCACAAAGTAGCAATCAATCTCAATATGCTTTGTGCACTCATGAAAGACTGAGTTATGAGCAATTTGAATAGCACTAGTACTGTCACAATACAAAGGAGTCGGCAGGTAACATGATGCCAAGATCAGCAAGGAGCCATCATAACTAAACTATCTTAGCTATAATAGATGTCATATCACGATATTCAGCTTCAGCAAATGAATGAGAAACAACAGTTTGCTTCTTGTTTTTTCAAGAAACAAGAGAATCACCAAGAAAAATACAAAAACCCCGTAGTGGACTTACGGTCCATAGAGTCACCAGCCCAGTCAGCATCAGAATAAGCCCTAAGTTCCATAGAAGAAGAGGACGACAATAACAAACTCTGGTGCAGAGTACCTCAAAGATACTGAATAATACGAAGAACCGCAAACCAGTGAACAGTAGTGGGTGAGGCAACAAATTGGCTAACAATATGAACAACATAGGAGATATCCGGATGAGTGACTATAAGATATACTAAACTCCCAACAATAGCACGATAGAGCATAGGGTCAGACAGGGGAGTACCATCAAAAGAAGAGTAACGAACATTGAGCTCTGAAGGTATTTCAACTGTCCGATTATCTGATAAACGAGTTCGGTGAATAACATCTGAAACATACTTGGACTGACACTAGTTCCTAAGCTCTGGTTTTATGTAAAGCAGACAACTCCTCTTCCATAACTTGTTTCCAAAGTGAATCAAGTAAAGCCTCCTTGTAGGAGGTGGGTTCAGATAAGGAGTAAATAGAAGTAAGGAAAGAGCAAAAGTCATGAGAATAACAAGTGCTACTCCAACCAAACCTGTCTGGACATTTGCGAGAGCAGCGCGGGGTATGATCCACATTGTCTAAACCTGATTGGGCGGCAGAAGAAGAAAAGGGAGGCACCATATCCGTGAAGAAGATAGCTGAATTCCTATGAACATATGTATGCACAATAGGGGGACGAGTGATGGGTACATCAGAAACAGTTATATCACTAACATAAGTGTCAGAGGGAACATCAGCCGAAAATGGGTCAATATAAATGAGATCAGATTTATGCAAATGTGAAGAACTAGATGGAATAGAAAAGAAAAGAATATGCTCCATGAAAATAACATGACGAGAGACATAGAGTTTGTGTGAAACAGAATCATAACAATGATACCCCTTTTGACCCTCACCATAACCAAAGAAAACACATAAAGTTGAACGAGCAGAGAGTTTAGTACGAAGAACACTAGGAAGCAAAAAAAAACAGGTGCACCTAAATACACGCAAAGAGAAATAATCAGGTGGCTTACCACATAGTTTTTCAAATGGAGAAATTTCAGAGGTGATGAAAATGGAAATAGAATTAATTAGATGGACTGTAGTAAAAACTGTTTCCCCCCAAAAAGAACTTGGGACATTTGCTGGCAGTAAGAGAGAGCGTGCTGTCTCCATAATATGTCAGTGTATATGCTCTGCTACACCATTCTGTTCAGGTGTATCAGTACAAGAAGATTGTCAAACAGTACCATCAGATTTTAATAGATCACGAAAAGAGTTGAAAGAATATTCTCCTCCTTGGTTACATCGAAAACATTTAATAACAGATGAATATTGAGTACGTATCATAGCACGAAAAACAGTGAATATAGAAAAGAATTCCAAACGATGTTTCATGAGATAAACCCAACAAAACCTAGTATAATCATCAATGAAAGAGACAAAATATTTTGACCCTCCTTTTGTGGGATTAGGAGCCGGTCCCCAAACATCAGAATGAACCAGATCAAAAGGTACAAGTGAGCTAGTGGAACTTTTATTAAAAGGTAATGCAGTAAATTTAGCTAACTTGCATCCACTACAACTGAAAATATCATGACACTTTAAATTACCCAAATTCCCAGTAAAGGCTAAAAATTTTAAACGAGAGTGAGACACATGACCAAGACAAGAATGCCACAAATAGAAACTAGAAGACTGTGAACTTAAATGAAAAGAAGATATATCAA